TGCCTGCAAACAGGCACACTGGGCTTTGAACAAGTTGGCATCTCTGGCAGTGAAGGGGATGATTTGGTGTCCCCACATGTACAGCAACACAGCCAGTCTAAGGCCATCAAGCCATCTCCAGGAGGAGCAGAGTCTGGCCAGGGCTGGGTGATCCTGCCAAGGCCAGGAACATGCAGGTAGGACCAGCAACTGAAATGAGAAAAGTTGGGGTGGAAGAACTGGATTTACTGGAAACATCCCCAAATTCCATCATTCTTGCTTGAGCCCAAATGTTTCACTGAAGCCAGAGTGAAATGTTCCATCTCCTATCCTCTTCTTTAAAATACAGGTGAACAAAGCAATATCTAGTGGCCTAAAATAGTTCCTGGATGGGTGGCAGAAACATGACCTTTTGACATTTCTGAGCTATAAGGCCCCAATGAAAAGACGACAAATCAAAGAGTAACCACCCAAAACTCATCCCTAAATTAAGACAGAGGCACAGAGAGATACTGTCCCTCTGAACAGTATCACTCACAAATGCTTTCACCTGTGACAGCAGTGCCAAGGAAGGATGGGAAAGAGGGGCTGAGAGGACAATGGTGTCAGGAAGGATTTGGTGGATGCTGGTCAGCCCCCCCAGCAGGGCAGGGAGCAGCTGCAGGATGAGGCAAGCAGTGATACTCACAGAGAGCTATCCCAAGCAGCTTGCCATGGTCTTGCTACCCACCTCCAAACCTCTCCCCTGGGCCGGCCTTTTGTTCCCAGCTCCATCCTCAGCTCCTGCTGCCCCAGCCTGGCCCTCCTCCTCTGCCTGGCCCCATCCCCACCCCAGGATGGGCACTGTGCCCCCTCCTCACTCATCAAACCCTCTCCCCTCCCAGCAGGCCGTCCCCTCTTTCTCGCCAGCACAAAACATGTTCCCTCCCACAAGTCCCTTGCCACCCAGGTGTCCCTGCCTGTCCCTGCACTACCCTACCAAAGGTCCCCACGGCCTGACCCGCTTCCCAGCCCCAGCTCCCCCCACAAGCCTATTCACAACCCCAGTCTGCACAGTCATTGCCTTTGCCAACGCATCCTACCAGAGCTCCCCAAGTGCCTTGTTGCCTTTTACAGACTCGATGACACAATCAGCGCAGGCTTAAAGTGGGTTGACAGCTCTCCTGATGGCAGCCCATGGGGTCCTGCTCCCCAGCCCCCTCCCCAGCCCCCCTGCTCACAGTCACACACACAGGTGCTCCCAAGCCCACGCAGGCAGAAGGATACTTCCACTCCACGATGCTGATGCATGCCTTTCGCAGTGGGTTTTGCAGAGTTAAGCAGAACAGAGCCCTGGCTGGCCGGGGTGCTACTGGTGGCACTGGCTTCTTGGACTTCTCCTTCTGTTGCCTCTTCTTCATGTCATCCTGAGGAGAAGGTGGCTCCATGGTGTTTCTCCCCTAGCTGTTTCTGCTCCTCCTGCCCCACCGTTGAGTCCCCCTTCCCCAGGTCCCAGCCAGCTGGAGCTCCTCTGGGTCTCCCTTCTTGTGGAGCCTGTCTCCTCTGCACACCGCGGGAGGTGGTGGGGGAGTGGGGACTGGAGCCTGCACTCGCACGTACAAACACACAAAGCATGAGTTTAAATTTAGATCCCGGCCTGGCTCCCGGGTGCTGTCACAGCTACTGAGGCAGCAAAAGGGCCCCTGCAGCTGTTGCTTCTTTCCCAGTGCATTGGGAGGCAGGCAAGTGCTTCGCATGCCACTGACCCAGGCTGGGAGTGGGAAGATGGGCACACAGATAGAAAAGAGCCTTTGTCTCAGGTCAGGTCCTTCCCCAGCTCTCCCGGCCTCCCTTGCCCAAACTGGGCTGTCTCAGGCAACACTTGCAGCCCCATTTGCTGAATTTTTCAGGGCGAGATGGAGAATTCGACTCTAGCCAGTTCCCAAAGGCTACCCCACAAACTGATCGACTGACCCCTCCCTCTGCAGGATTTCACTTTCATTTGGTGCAAACTGTTCAGTTGAGCCCTGGGCCCTGTGATCCTGGGGCTGTAGGGCCTCTGGGAATGGGTCCATCTCACTGAAAGGGATTTTGACTCCAAGCTCAGAGCTCCAGGGAATCATGGTGAGTCCAAAAAGTGCTCTGGCTTGCTTTTCTGGAGGGGCAGAAGAAACCCTTGGCTGGCACTGGTTGCTCAAACAGCCTCTGGCTCGGCCTCACCTCCCAGTCCTGCTTGCAGGGTCTAGAGGATGCCTGGGATGCAGGAACCCAACAGCCTAGGCTGGATTGTGTCCTGGCAAGTCCAGCTGGGCTTGGGGAAGCCCAGGTTGACAAATGATATGAACAGTTATGGTAACTCCTGAGCTGAAAAGCAGGCAGAGAGAGAGGCAGGTTATCAGCACCTTGTCACAGCAGGGGAAACCGAGGCACCAGGAAGGGTTGCTCTTGGGGTTTTCCTGGACTGTCTCCGTAAAATAGTTGCAGTGATGTTATTACTTACAGTTATGGACCATGGCAGTGGTATCCCTGTCCTACAGAGATGTTAATCTAATGTGACTGACCAGCTGTGCCCCAGTCAACTCCACACACCCCAGGGAGCTGCTACCCACTGCAGCACACTGCCTGGCTCCACGCCTTCTCTCCACTGCTTTGCAGGGTCACTCCACTGTAGAGAGAAGTGGCTTTTCAGCTCTGCAGCAGGCTGTGCCAAGGGCCAGGAGGGCCACAGTGCCGAGGGAACTGATCACGACCTGCCCACAGCAGGGAGACAGCCCGGGAGAGCAGCTCTTGCAGCTGCTTCAGCCAGTTTTGATGCACTTTGGAGGAGGGGGCCCTCAACTGTAGAGGGGTTAAATGAGTAACCTGCCCCCTCCTACACCACTCTGCCGCATTTTGTGCGAATCAAGAATCAAACCATTCCTGCTGAGGGCTCCAGCCCTGTCTCCATATGAGGCAGGTCCACGCAGGTTCCCATTTCTCATTTAGACCTCAGTCCTCCTCCAAAACCCTAGCGAAAGCCAGGAGCCGCATTTCTGCTGCTGCCTGTGCAGAACCTGACCAGGGATAGCAAGGATGTGGGGCCCATCTAGTGGTGATCCTGAGGAGAAACATCTGCCTTTGACTCCCCCTAGAGAAGTCTCAGAGGAAGAGGGCAGGGCGAGCCGGGCAGGGCGGTGCAGCCTGGGGCGGGCAGAGGCTCTGGAGAGACCACCCAAGGTCTCTCTGGTCCCCTCTACACCCCTTCGCTCACACACCCTGCGCCAGCTGCTGGCAACCACTCGCCCCCCCGCCGTGCACAGGCTGTGCTGGCATCCACCAGCCCGGCGCGGCTTTAAGGGAACGCGGTCCGCTCAGCGCTCCTACCTGCCTGGCGGGGAGACGCTCCTTCCCCCTGAAACCTCTTCGCATCCATCCTCGTCGTCCTCACGCACCTCGCAGGCCTTCACGTTCATCTCCTGCCGCCGCCGCACAAAGCGCCGGCCTCAGGAGGGCCCGAAGGCGGGCCGGGAGCCAGGGACGAGGCCCTGCCCCGCC